GAAATTAGTTAAGTTTCGCACCTATTATTTTCAACATTCTGGTGATGCGTGTGGGATTTAAAATTACTGTCGGCAATCTCTCAAAAAAATCGTTATCTCCTGTTCTACTGGGCCTAACAAGTCCCTTAAAACGGGAAAATTCTCTTTAGCTCTCAAGCTAATGAAAACTGGAAATTTGTTACTGATGCGCCGGATATCCTTGGATTATTTTTGTCACCATCAAGGTTTTGTTTTCATGCATGCCGATAAAAATTTGTTTGTCATGCAACTAATTATGCATGAAATAAACTCGAGTTGGCATCATGTTTTCATGCCGCTTTGTGGCACTTTTGATACAATAAAATTCATTTGAGAGGTGGAAACGCAGGTAGGTGAGAATTTTTTTCAATTCAACTTCCAGAAGAATTTAAAATTGTCACATAACCCGCACCTCCCTATTACCTGTAGTGGGATGCGTTTAATGCAAAATCGACAGATTACCTGCAGGTAATTGACCAGAAATTAAGGTATTTGGCACCACCTCCGATGGACATAGAGATCTCCTTTTCTAAAAATCGCGGGAGGCAGTGTAGAAACTGACCACAGTAGTAGAAGGGGATTTGGGATAAGGGCTTCAAGGTCTTGTAGGTTGTCGGATACCTTTGTTAGGGGTCTGCCATTGACTATATTTTCCACCTCGCACATAAGTGTTGCGAGTCCTTCATCTTTAAGGACTTTTTCCCTCAGAAGAGCATTCATCACCTTTTGCATGGTGCGAATGCAGCGTTCCCATACGCCACCATGGTTAGAGCCTGCAGGGGGGTTGAAAATCCACTGAACGCTTCGTTGGAGGAGGAATTCTGTGATCACTTCCATGTTCCAGGAGCTCCTTCTTGCCTCGTACAAAATTTCTGCCATTATCTGATCCCATCTGCTCTGGCTCTCCTCTTCTGGCGATGAAACGATGCATGCTGTTGATGAAGGAGTCTGTGTCCAGGCTGTAGACTACCTCAATGTGGATCACACGTGTGGTTAGGCAAGTAAACAGCACACGGTATCTCTTGACTTTACTCCTTTACTCTACAAACCAGAAATTGACCAAAGCAGTCGACTCCGATGTAACTGAAGGGGGGTTTGTCTGGAGTGATTCTATCCTTAGGCAGGTTTGCCATCTTTTGCTCTCCGACTGGAGCTTTTCTCCTTCTGCAGTCGAAACAGGTGTTGAGGAACTTCCATACTGCAGCTCTTGCCTTAACGATCCAAAACTTCTCTCTGATCATGGATAGCACATGTTCTGAACCAGAGTGCCCAGATGTGTAATGGTAGTAGCTGATAATTAAATGGACAACTTGATGTGAAGTTGGCAGAATTATGGGATGTTTAGCATCTAATTGAAGGGGGGCATTTTCAAGCTGTCCTCCTACACGTAGCAGGCCATCCATCAACCATGGGTCGTGTTTGGAGACTCTGCTCGACTTCTTAACTTGACCTTTTCTTGTTCTGGCGATGTCTCTTTTTCCAACTCCAGAACCTGTGGCTTGTAGAATTGCAATCTCTTCTTTGAAGCTCTCTCTCGGGAAGTGTCTTAGAATCTCCCTTTCCGCCTTGTTCATTTCCTCAATGGAGAGAGGGTCTATCCTGGCTATCTTATCGGAGAGCGTGGATTCTGATTTCCACTGTTGAACTGCTCTTTGTAAGTTAGTTCGGTAACGAAGAATCCAAGCCACAAACTTCTTTAAGCGGTACAATGAAGAAAAGCGTCCGAAGAGCTTGTTGATTGTTGTAACTCCTACTTCTATGTTTGCAGAAAACACTTGTGATTCTTTCTTGACCTCCGGGTCGTTATCTGCGACTGTACAGTCTGTAAACTGTTGACTTGGCCAGAACCTTTCAGATTTCCAAAGGAAGTCTGGTCCTGTTAACTAATATTCACCCTTCAGCAGGGCCTCGGCTGAGAGGCCGCACGAAGCACCATCTGCTGGGTTTTGCTTTGTGTCAATGTGTTTCCACTGAGAAGGAGATGTAGCTTCTTGTATTGCTGTGACACGATTTGCTACAAAAGAATGGAACTGTTGGCAATGTAATCCAAAATGCAGGTGCTGTCTGTCCAGAAGATAGACTCGCTGAGTTCCTTGGCTGGTATAGGGTCATCCTACCCCAGATTCTGGCAGCATAGGTCTTGTAGTAGCGCCTTTGCTGGCAAGGTGAATGGAGCTGCAAACCCTAACGGATCGTACATAGAGCTGACCAAGGATAGGATTCCTCGTCTTGTTGGGGCCTGTCTTTCATGCTTATCTTGAAGCCAAAGGTATCGGACTCTACATTCCATCTTACTCCTAGGGCCCGCTTGATTGGCAGCTGATCGAGGAGAAGATCCTTCACAGATCCTGCCCTCTCGGGCATTGGGATGAACTTGATGACGTTTCATGAGTTAGAAATCCATTTAGTCAAGCGGAATCCTCCTTTAGAGAAGTTGGCAGAGCTTGTCCACCAATACAATGGCTTTATTTTCAGATGGGACTGACTTGAGGGAGTCGTCGACGTAGAAGTTGTTTTTGACGCTGTCAACTGCATCCTTGCTGAATTCTTGTTGGTTGTCCTTTGCAGTTCACCGAAGACTGAAGTTTGCACAGCTTGGTGATGATGTGGCACTGAAGAGATGTACCATCATCTGATATTCTTCTGGCTTGCTGTTCAAATCATTATTTGACCACCAGAGAAACCGTAGGGCATCACAATCCCGAGGGCTGACGTGTACCTGGTGGAACATCAACTCTACATCGGCCATGAGTGTGACAGGCTCCTGTCAAAAGCGCATCAGGACACCAACCAAGTTGTTCAATAGGTCAGGTCCCTGGAGGAGTTGGTTGTTCAGTGATGTTCCCTGGTGTTTTGCTGCACAATCAAACACGACTAGGATTTTGTCTGGCTTGTTTGGATTAAGAACAGGATGGTAAGGTAGATACCACAAAGCTCCGATAGGATGATCCAGCCAGTCCCGTGGTACCTTGTGGGCATGGCCATTTCTGACCAGGTCATCCATGAACAAAGAATACTTTGAGAGAAGCTCTTGATCCTTTAACAATCACCTTTGTAACGGCTTCAAGCAGTGTTCCACTAATGGTCGGTTGTTCAGAAGGTAAGGTGGGGTGTTCCTCCAAGGTAAGGCTATTTCGTAATGTCCTTCCTTAAGAGTTACAGACTGCTCCATGATGCTCAGAGTGCGTAAGTCTTCCTTTGACATTCCTGGGTCATTGCTATTGGCCAAGTCGCTGAACTCCAGATCTCAGAACTTCGCAAACTGTTGGCTTAGTTTGTTGTCGATGATGAAGTTCCGGTGTGACGATAATTTCCTTTCCGTTCCAAAGGACTGTTGATCGTCCACTCAAACATGATTTGCACTGCATATGGGCCTTGGTCTTTGCACTCTCTCATTTCTTTAGGCTCTAGGGCTTTTGCAACATCGTTTCTAATCAGCATCAATCTTGGGAAGCTGGATACCTTTGAGGTGAGGGTACATGTTGACATCCTCTTGTCGTGGGATGCTTTCCTCACTAACTGGTAGTTTCGGGGTTGAGAAGACGGTGGGGAGCTCAACGAAATTGTGCTCCTCCAAGTCGAACACTTCCAGCTCGAAGACCTGGCATTCAGTCACGCTATTCTGCTTCTCCAAGGTAGTCAACAAGGGTGAAGTTTTCTCACCATTGACAGCTAGCTTTTCCATAAGTTGATGGTGCAGAACGTAATGTTTGATCCCCCATCCAAGAAGGCATAAGTCAACACAGAGGCGTCTGAACCACTGGCTTTAACCGTTACAGGAACAATGGGAAGAACAATTGTTGAGAGGCCGGCCCCGATTAGATCACAACAACTATCGCTGTTTACGTAAGCATTATTCACATTGCCATTGTTGACTTCAGCAGGTCTTCTGTTGCCTTTGGTGTTCTCATTTGAAGGAGGGTTCCCAATGTAGCGATCTGGTACCTTTGAATGCAGGAACGTCAAGTGCTTTGTATGGCAATTGGGAATCTTGCAGTAACTACTCTTTGGGAAGGATTGAAGGTGTGACCAGACAGAAAACAATTCTCACAAAGATCTTTCTTGCGCACAAAAGTTAGTCTCTGATCCACAGACTGTTTCTTGAACTCACGACAGTGGGTCAACCAGTGGTCGCTGTTGCATAAATGGCATTGAGGTGTAGGCTTTGCCAGATCAGGTCCCGCTGGAGAATTCTTATTACCATAGAAGACACTATTGTTGGGTAGATCTCCCTGAATACCAAAGTTCTCGCCCTTTCGTGGCTTATGATTCTTGGGATCCTTTCCTTTGCTTTTTAGATCGCTGGTGACGTTTCCAAATATTGGGTTATTCAAGGCCCTGGCCTTTGATTCCAAGAATCTCGCAATGTCCTCGAACGTTATCTCTCTCTGCTTGTTACTGGTGATGTCATCAGCAACATCGTGCCATCTTTGCCTTAGCTGAAAGGGAAGCCTTTCAATCACCCTCTGTAAGCTGTCTGGATTCTCGACCTTATTAAGGCAACCAATCTCCTTCAAGGTGTTCTTGCAGCTTGTGAGAAAAACAGAAAACTTCTGTAATGCCTGGCCACCTTGTGCCTTATCAGAGGCCCATTTGTAACTGGACTGACATAGGTGGTGACGATTTTGTGATTCTGGCCATATCTTGCTTTAAAAAGCCGCTGTGCTTCCTGATAACCTTCTTCTGGTTGCATTGACAAACAGCTTCAGGTGAGCTCTTGCACGTCACCGAAAGTGTACTGCACAAGGTAGTATAGTCTTGTGCTGCTGTTTTTCATCTTGGCTTCAATCAAATTTTCGAAGGAACGGATGAAATTGCAATAGTTAACAGGATCTCCATCAAAGGTCTGAACTTCAGCGTGGGGTAGAGTTAGTGTAAGGAGAGATGCTGCTGTTGCCCTAGTAGCTGTTGCAACTGTTGATCACAGTATTGCTGCATGTGCATGAGTTGCTCATTGTGGCGTTGCTGCTGCCGCTGTATGTCTATAATATCCTGTATGAATTTCTCTCCAACTGCTGAATGCCTCGGGGGTGGACTCTGCTCTTGCTTGACTTCATTGGGATCCGGACAACGCTCACTGAGTCCGAGCTTTGGCACATTTTCTGGGAGCCATGGGGTCGCATGAGGTGAAAGGGGGTGAATCTTCCCATCAGGTTGAGTAACCACTGGATTTGCCTGATGGATTTCTGCAGGTAATTTCACCGTTTCGGGCTTGTTTAGCAAATGATCATAAGAAGCTTGTGGGAGTTCTGACTGCAGATCAAGCATGTCCCATGTTGGTGGTGAAGGGCAAGGTTCCTTCTTTTGTAGAACTGGTAGGCGTGGCTGTCCAAGGGGTGGAGAAGTTGTGAGGTCCTGGGTACGAGCATATGATGGCAGTTCAACTTACTGATCTCCTTGTTCCACTATGGCATATACTTGTTCTTCAGTGTCTAACTTGACAATCTGAATTTCAAGTTGGAGTTGCTGTTTTTGCTGTGCGAGGCGTAATTTAGCTTCCTCTTGTTGCTGTTGGTATTTAAGCGCTTCGTGCTTTAATCGTAATTCCTCTTCTTGCAGAGTTTGTTGCTTGCGTAGTGCTGCTGCTTCAGCAGCTAATGATACCTTTTTAGCAGTAGCGATTGTTTTAGGGCTAAAGGCCGATGATCCACCACGTGACCCATATAACGAGGACTTCGACTGATTTGATTGTGTGCGAGATCTTGTTCCAGCGTTGCTAACGGATCCTGTGGCTTTACGATTTCGCTGTCCACATTCTCGTAAAGTTCTTTATTAGCTCGAGTGAACCACTTGTCGAGTATTTGTTGAAAATTTTCTATTCTCTGAGCTTCACTATCAAAGTAGTCATTTGAATCTTGGATCCTGAATTTGTCATCAAGGGGGGTGTGGTATGCGCTGTGAACGCCTCAGAAATGTGTTGCTGTTTCAAGAAACTCTTTTGCTTTTAACTCAACATCAGTGACGTCTCTGGAGTTAGACATGCATTCTGTAACTTCTTTTATTTTCTTCATGACGTTTGCCTTCGGAGCACTTCTATTTCTGCGAAGTTGTAGGGAGTTTTTGTCATGAATTCCTTTGTTGTCCAGAGTCACGTTGGGGCTCCTGTTGTGATCGCATGTGGTGGAAAGGTCATCGCACGAACTCGTGGCCATTACTCTCTTTAGGCTGAGCCTTGGTGAAGTTGAAGCAGATATCTTCAAACTAATGTAGACCCCAACCAAGAGATGAGTTTAAAAGGAAATTTATTCCACATTCACAATCAATCGAGTAAATTGAATGCATCCAATTACGTTGAAGATGAAGGTAAAAATGATGTAAATAATGTAATTTACGTAATCGATGAAAAGATGAAATGACGGTTCGACTAAAAGGAAAAAGTACGGCTATAAATTATAATAGATCTGAGAAAATTGACAAACTAAATGAAAACAAAAAAAGACTGACGATTTACAGATATTTCCTCCTATCAATGTGAACGGGTCGAGTAAAATAAATGATGATTTGAAAACAAGATCTTGCCGTGAGGAAAGCCAATATCTAATACACTGAAAAACGAGAACTTAAAGGCGTAATCAAAAGAGTCACATGAAGATTAAGGTTAAAATTTAAATGCAGAGTAACGCACTTATGTGACCAGCCATGCACGTTTGAATCTTACACTAACTGTATTATATTAATATATTCCTTAGAGACACTCGTTTTTGTAGGAGTATTTATATTAGTATCACCCATTAAAATGCATTTTTTCTTAGAGGGAAAAACAACGTTTCAAGTTTGTCTAAAAATTCTGGGTTTGAAAAATTTGGGTCTTATAAATGACACCCACAATCATATCATTAGTTTACACAATCATATCGTTAGTTTAGTTACAAATATTAGTTTTCAGTTAATTATAATCAGACAGCATGATTGATAGTAAATAAATTTGGCAGATCAAGTTAGGTCATTTTGGGGCTGTCCTGGTGTACCGGTACACGAGGGAATTCCTTTTGTTTTCATAACCAAACATGGAGTTATGACGCAGTTCGTTAATGTTTCCTTCCTTTGTGTACCGGTACACGAGGATACAACCGTCATTTTTCTCTTCATTGGCTTTGTTTTGCCTCGGAAGAATAAAAAATGGAATGTAAAATAAAATAAATGGAATGTACTGATGTTCTTAAATATAATTCTTGAATTCCCCGCACCCAAAAAACTGACAACCAGAAATGCGGTGCGGGATAAGCAGACAATTCTTAGCCCATTTATTGAACTAACCAACTAATCACAAGACAAAAACAACTGTTTACACTGTTTAGACACCAAAAAATTAAACAAACTCTACACGTTCGATGCGGCCAAAGTAAATTGAATAAACAAAACCACTTATAATGACTGTCAATCATCAGGAAAGCACAACTAAAAATCGTTACGAGGAAATGGACTACAGGATTCCAACCAAACAATAAAGAAGAACAAAATTTAACTGTCCGCTTGTAAAAAATCCACAATGAAACTTGTTTACTGTTCAGCGAATATATACTCGCTAGTTTACATATCACACTTCTTTCCCATAATCTCACGCTGGCACTTAAAACACACTGCCTATAAATGCACTCGTGCTCGGAAATTCAAGAAACCATTTATCTTTTGTTTCATTACGCTTCGCTACATTCAGGCAAAGATAAATGAACAATTCTTGAATTCCCCGCACCCAAAAAACTGACAACCAGAAATGCGGTGCGGGATAAGCAGACAATTCACAATCAGTGGCAAAAGCATATAAGGATACAATATAAGGCAATGTTGATTAAGCAAAACATATTTACAGTATAATAGACAGCTAATCGCTTGGATACCATAAGGGTACTGTCCAAAAATTGTTAAGCATATCCACCTGCGGCAAGGATTCTGTGTCATCGAGCAACGTTAAGCCATCAGAATTAATCGGGCAAATGTAAATCCCTCCATACCGCAACAAACAACACAACTTGCGCAATGTTTATCAAGCAAATCACATACTGAAAATTAAAGAGCCAAATTTCTAGACACCACAAGGGTATTTTCCAAAGATTCACCGACATAACCATCTGCGGCTTGGATACTGCGCCAACCGCCATGTCTACGCAATACTCTCCCAGAAACTCCGCTGCGTGCTGCTTGGGAAGCACCACCTGAACGAAGACTATGTAAACCAAATTCGTTCGAGTCCAAACCAAGTTCGGAAATCATTTGACGAAACTGTTCCCGTGCCCGAGAATATGACAGAGCAGCTTGTTGCAGCTTGTACCCGGCACCCAATTTCTGGCAGAGACAAAACAAAGACTGAGATGGTTGATGCTCTCTGCGCTCAAGGAATAACTCTAACAGTTTCACTGGACAAGAGCTGGAAGGTAAACGAGCAACTCTAACCACAGATCCCTGACGGAATTGATCGTTCTTACGCCTGTCTAGGAAAATAGACATGTGGGTGGCGCAAAACCTTAAGTCACAGGCACGTAAGTCACGCAGCTCTGACCAGCGTAGGAAAGCACCAAAACCAAGCGCAACCAGCGACACCATTTGTAGGTTCGGTAGAGAAGCACGAGGGTGACCATAGGAATGAATCAGCGCCCTGACGTGATGAGATTCAATAGGCTGCTTTTTCCTAGATGGACCAGCCAGGAGGCGTTTAAAGCCAGCCAAGGTCTGAGAAACGAGCGGATCGTCGACAGGACTAGGACATCCAAGTTTCTTATGTAGCCATGCAATGCCATAAGCTGCTCCAAGGATTGACGAGCGAGATAAGCCTCGGTCTGAAAGACTTGTTAAGTAGAGAGCAACTGCGGTTGGGTTAGACTGTAAAGGAGGAAACGAGTAACACTTGCACCAGTCAATCCATCGATTGGCTGCCCCTGCATATGAAGACACGGTTGAAACGGCACAGCCATTAAGTATGACAGTCTTTAACAGTTCTACAAGCCTCTGAATCTCTGCGTTGCTTCGTTGGTAAGGCGACAAGCCTAAAGTGAAAAACAACAATGTCCAAAACATGGCCTTTAAAAAGACAGGAACAACATTCAATCGCTACAGAACACTAAACGTGCAAGAAACACATCGTCTGCAACGAGAAACTGCCCACATGGCAAGTAAACACAGCACCAGCACACACTCCAGCACAAGGAGGCTTGGCCCACTCGGCGTCAACTGGTAAGCAAATCCACACAAAGGACAGAGGAGTCCACTTGACTCTAAAAAGGAACACACTACTGTGTCGGCAGTGCCCTCTCGGCTTGCTTCAGCTGCACAACTCGTGCGTACTAGTACAGTTCCAAGTCCACTGACTTGCAAAGAGCAAAGGCCCACACCTAGGCCAAAGAGGCTCAGATAGAACAAAAACAAATAATTAGGATGAACAACTCGTTCAAGGTACTCGTCTAATACCCGCAAAAAACGTTCTACAGCAAAGCTAAGGAAACACAATTCTCAAAGCAAATACTCTACACGAGGGAAAACCATGCCCGAAAAGATCCGCGGCTGCGGAACCAGGGAGAAAAGTAGAATCATGTAAAGGAATCTCCTGCCAGTCAAGAACAAAAGGGTGGAAAACCCCAGGGCTTGGAGACACCAACGGCCACCAATGAGCAGACCGCCAAAAGGGGATAATGAGAGTGCCCTGCTCTCTACCCAGCTTCATGTGATTGATAACCCTGGGAATAAGGAACACTGGGGGGACCAACCAATTGTTTTCCCCTCCCCAGCTGACGGTAAAAGCATCAACAGTTTCGGTCCCAGGGCACCACCACCGAGAACAAAACCTGGGCAACTGGAAAGAATTATGACTCGCAAAACGATCTACAGTTTGGGGTCCCCACAGAATATCCAACTGGCGAAAATGGACAGGGTTGAGCATCCAATCATCGGTGTTGACAACTTTCGACCAATAATCAGCTTTGAAATTAAAGTGGCGAGGTATCCACTCTGCAGAAAAGCGAATACCGGCTTCATGGCACAAACTGTAAATGGCAACGGCTTCTTTTTGCAAATGAGGCTTACTACTGCCGACGGACAAAATACTGCAGACGCTCTGATTGTCAGATCTATGCTTGCACTCCTTACCCGCCAAAAGACCGGAAAACGACTGAAGAACAAATCTAATTGCATGAATCTCGCGGAAAGAAGAGCTGCATAGGGCCTCGGAACCCAACCAGTTCCCTCTAGCGATGTGCGTACCAAATTGAACAATAAATCCCGCCCAACCCACATTGCTGGCATCCGAATAAGACAAAAGCTCTATCTTCGGGGAGGGCCTCCAGATTGGTTTGCCGCACAAACGAAAGAAATTATCTCTTCAAAAATAAAGTTCCTCTACAGCTTCACGCGTTAAAGCCACCTTGCAGCTAAGGCAATGAACGCTATTAAGGACTGCGTACAAGGCTCGGGTGCGCAAACGCACAATTGGACCTAAAGCGAGCTCCATGGAAATAAGGGTACCCGTAATACGAGACACATCCTTAGGCGTGGGTGAAACATCGCCAAGAAGCAGTGAAATCAGATTAAACAGGTGATCAATCTTGCCTGGTGGGATACTAAATTCTCCTTTGGTAAGGTCCAAAATAAAGCCTAAGTGCTCCCCTTTTTGGCGCGGTTCAAAATTGCTCTTCTCCTCATTCACTAGCAGGCCAAGGCGATAAAAATCGCCTTGCACAAGTTGCGCTTCCTGAGAACACGAATCTTTACTTGAATCGGTGCCGATACCGTCGTCCAAATAGACAGAAATCCTAATGCCTTGTGACCGCCAGTGTGAAACAACTGGTCTTAACAATTTGGTGAAAACGTAAGGAGACATACTTAAACCAAAAGGAAGCGAACAAAACAAAAAATAGCGTGGCTTACCATCGAAAGTAAACAAAAAAGCCAAATACTTCCAATGCTCTTGAAA